TGCTTCGCATTCTCACCTACTCATGTATGACTGTGGCGTGGGGTTAAGGAAGAAAAAACCATAATGCCCATAAGATGTGTAACTCTTTCTGAAAAAGCTCACGCCTCTTTTGAACAATCTAGACTAACTTTTGCACAGTTCATTCAACCTAGGAAAAGTTATCTTGCCAAAGATTCCCTATTTGTTTCATTTCTCATTTATGACACATTTATTCAATGACACAAGTCTGTCATTAATGTTAATTTTAGTTTTTTCTATAGCCAGAGAGGGGACAGTATTCCAGGGAGCTTGAGTATATCTGGAAAACTGAAAAAAATTAATAAAGAATAACCTTTGTAGGAGCATATTCCAGTAGGCTTTAGCCGCAGATGAAAAACTTCTAATTGATAAAATGATAGAACATGTATTTCTAAAATCCATACATTTTAATAAAAAATAAGTTAAAGACATACAAAAAGGTGCTTCTACCAGCTGGACACGAGATACTGAAGAGTTGGAAGGCAAAATGACATGCTCAGAATGACCTAGAGAGAGGCAGGTTCAGGATTCAGGAGTGGAAGAACAGAGAAACTATGCAGGAGCTGTTACCCAGGAAGCCATGAATAAATGACAGCTGTGTAGGAATGAGAATCCGCAGTACGTAAGGCTAACTGACCATGAGGGCAGAAAGACGGAAAATCGACAAGAGCAACTACAGATTCTGGGTTCCCAGAGACAACTATTGGAACTTTGCACGATTTATAACTTTTGCCAGGGAATCTTAGGAGGAAAAGGCTATAATTTAATTAAATTAAAGTTATTCAGGGCTGGGAATTAGTAAGTTAGGAACAGATAGAGGTCAAAGTGACAAGAAATTCTAAGGTGGAAAAAAATACACCTAATTTGTATGGATGAACAGGAAACCCAGTCTAGGGAGAAATGCAGATATATCCTGAGTAGATTTATGGACTAGGATAGTTGTAAAGGTTAAAAAAGATCAGAAAGAATAAGTTAATTCAGTGATGATAGAAAGGAAAAATTTATAAAGAACAGAAATCTCAGAATTCACATCTGTTTTGAATAATACCAGATCTCAAGTTAGCAAAAGCAAGGGATTGCTAAAGTACAGTGGAGATGGATTTCCTTTTTGTTTTTGTTTCTCAGTTGCTGATTAAAGACTCTGAACACTGTACTTGTACCAGGAATGATAGAAAGTAACACACATGGCTTTTCCTTCAAGGAGCTGGAGGGAAGCTTAGTAAGAAAGAACAGTGTGTAACGAGTATACAAAAATATTTAATGCCAGGGAGAAGGAGCACTGCAGTAAAGGAACCAGGGAGTCTGGGAGCACACAGGTGGGAGAGATTCATTTTAAATACATCTGTCGTAGAAAATATGGACTAGGTGGCATCTGAGTTAACTTCTTAAAATTTGAATTGGCACTCAGGATTAGGTAGGTGTGTTGCACTACAGCATGATTCGTGAAGCGCTTCCCGATTGTGCCTTGCATGATCGTAACTTCACAAACTGCCACTTGCGCACATCCACGTGCAACATGCCAAACGACCCGCAAAGCTCTCGATATGCCGTGCTTTACATACCTCTAATATTCGTTTTTGGATTAATTATCTCCTGTCTAATATCTGTGCTTTCCCTTGCCTACCCCAACTAAGTTACTTCGCTGCTTTAGTCCAACAGGCTGGAGTAATTTTGACTCTATCCTCTCCCTCATAATTCATTTTAAAAAGCGTATATTGAATCACATCCTTCCTAATGCCTTTAAAAATCCCTTATGGAACTAATGGCTCCATTTTAACACTCACTATCACATGTTTATTTCAGTTCCATATCACCTCATATGTTACCAGTTACATTATACTCTCCTCCCTGGTCCAACAGGACCACCCATGCCACGCAGATCTAACCATGGGAGTCTTCAACGTGAAGTGCAGCAGTGCCTCCCTGCAGACTTTCACTTCCTTGTGTGACATCCAAAGCCCTCCTCACTCTGAGCCTGTCTGCTTTTCCATGGTGATCCCTTAGAATTCTGCCTCAAGAATGTGGCATTCCAGCCACTCCAAACCTACACATTTTAGTCTCTGCAATTCTTGTTCTCTGCCTACCTTCTCCTAGTCACCCCTCACAAGTTTAACATCTTCCTGGGTGCTTTCATGTAATGTAGTATCAACAATGAATCGTAACATGAATTATTAAATATATTATTTAGAAATATATTGTCTGCGGCCACTCCACCCTGACCGCGCCGGATCCCCTATGCCCTCAGAAATATATGCATATTTATGGATATGAATGTTAGATTGAAAATCATTTATGAATTTTTATAGTGAGCAGTACATTTTTCATATAAGAAACACTAATTGTCTATTTTAAATGAATAAACCTACTTCAAAATTCAGAAACATTTGAAAATAATTTTTCCTGCCAGAGCACAATGATCAAGAATTCTTAGAAAACTATAAAAAATATTTTGTGGAGAGTTAAAAAAATCAACCTGATCTCAAAACTCCACATTATCTAACTATTTAGTTATGTAACTGTTTTGTTAGTGCATATATATATATATATATATGTATGTATTAAACTTAGACTCATAATTTTGTATGAGTATCTTTAAGATTACTATAAACATTATTAAAGTTTAATATGTTACAATACTAAATTAATGTGTAATGGATTCTATTGATTTCATAAAGTATATCATTAAATAAGATGAAACAAAGAAGTTTGACTATTAATGTTTATCTCGAATCAAAGAATTACATTTTCTAAAAGATGCAAGTAAAAAACAAAACAGTTCTTTCTAAGTGCTCAAAGAAACAATAAGTCTATGTGGAGACACTCTCCCTAAACACTGAAATATTGTAATCAAGACTACATGTTAATGAATTATTCAGAGGAAAATTATTTATAGAGCTTCAGCCATATGTGAAAATATTTGGATCCACTGATTACTCAGCAAAATACTTATTAAATTTGTAAAATACTTTATTCTCATTTTTTAGGGGATATTGAGGCAAAACTAAGTGACCTAATTTGCCAATACTTTCCTTTACTCATAGCAGAAGCAGAAATGTAATCCAGATAACAAATATGTGTGATCTGGCTATTTTGTAAGAGGTGAGATGTAATCAAAGAAACCGTTCAGGTATTCCACTTAGATTCATGAAGGGACTTCCATCAATTTTGGAGAGTGGAGACAGAATGTAAAAATTGTTGTGCATTAACATAATAAGCCTAGGTTTGTAAAAGATTAGCCTTTCAGACTTCTTCTATCTAGGGACTGTGTAACACATACGATTACATAGATTGCAGATTTGATCTAAGTGTACTGACTTTAGTCAGCTAAAAATATCTAGCTGCCATAATTCATTTAAAGCAGAAAGAACAAATATGTTCAAGACATGCTTTAATTTATGGTACATGAAGCAATGGTTATGATAATCAGAAAGCGGAAAGAAATGTGTATTACTACACTCAAATTATTTCTCATTTTCCATGGATGATTGAGCTTCTGTCTGGATATTTTAAATGTCTTACTCACTGTTAAACATAAAAATTAAAGTTAAAAATGTAATGTGGAGTTATAATATTCTTTTCATGGAATACGTATTTTTTTCTTGTTGTAAATTCAAAAGAACCTTATTTCAAAGAGATGGGCAATAGGTATACTTGTGAAATGCGTTTAATGTACTTTTGTAGAGAAAACAAAAAGTATATCTGAGCATTTCCCTGTTTTCAGTAGAAAGTGCTGTGTCAAGGATATGAGAAGCAGTTTCTCTAAAAATATTAATAAATTGGATGCACAGATCCTGTTCTGTGTACCCAGCTCTGGGTCAGGAAGGCAGAGGGATGGAGGCCTAATGGTGAACCTGGGCCAGACCTGCGCTGTGGTTTTCCTTCATTTGGGGAAGTGAAATCATGTCTGATATCCACAAATATCTTGTTATAAAACTCAGAAGAGCCAGGAAAGGTGCTTATTTGGAGAAAACATATAAATGTGTACAATTTATATATCATTTTGAATACTGAACTTTAGAAGTTTTCTATTGCTTCTTAACTGGCTGGGATTGAAATATAGTTTGCGCATTTTCTGAGGTGTTACACCACAGAGTAATTCTAAAGCATGAGGCGTTGGCTTGTTTCCATTCATTTTGAGATTTTATCTATTCCTGCCAATTAAGCTTATATCTAAACATTGTAAGAACTTGCCATAGAAAAAAAAGTGAATCATTGAAGCTGTAGCAAGCAGCTTCAAATTGTATAGCACTTTTATCAACAATTTAGGATGGCATAACTTAATTTTCTCTAACCAAAAAATTAAAAAAATCAATAAAAGACCATAGGGATAGTTAAACTGATCATTGCATTAAAAAAAAAAATGGTGTTACTGAAATTCACAGCATTTATATAAAGTAAGACAATGATCATTTAGACCTAGAGAGGAGGTATAGGTCTCTTGTCCCAAACCGTTTTTGAGAAGATGAATGAACTGAGATCGTGGATGAATAACAACTGACAACTGTCAAGTGCTGAAGCTCATGATAGTCAAGTGAGTTTTTATAAAGTGTTTGATACAGTTTGCCTGTGTCTGTGATCTTTCTAAGTCAGAAAATGCATTGATCAAATGTTAGGAGGAGACGATGGTAGCCAAAATAATAAATAAACTATGCATAATTTTATGGCAATCTGGGAAAAGAATGCTTGTACAATTTTTTAGATTCTCTTCCATTTACATAGGGCATGTTTTACAAGTCAAAGGTTCTCCACAATTATCTGAGTCTGAGGATGCTTTCTACTAATTTGAACTTACATGTTATCTGGGTCTATCTTTAGTGTTCCACTTAGAAAAGAAATATTTGTAAAGGCAAGTAACCAAGTATGGATTTGGAAGCTGACATTTATATTGTTTGAAAGAAGAGTTTTTCAACAGATACTTCCATAAATTGCAAATAGATAAATGACATGTTGTTTTGAACTGATTTGTTCTGACATATCTGCAGGCAGAATGCCTTTCAAGTCATTGCTGTGGACGGAGTCTGCAGTGGCATTATCCAGTGCCTCTCTGCTGAAGACTGCATGGACTGGCTACAAGCAATAGCAACTAATATTTCAAATCTCACAAAGCACAATGTAAGTAGTGATTCAAAGACTACCTAGCCATACAGTTTCTCAGCCTGTATAAAATTCCTAAGTATATATGTAACTTTGCATCAACTGCTTGGTATTCTAAGAATGAACTTCCCATCCGTCATGAAAACTATTCTGAACACCTATGAAAGAAAAATACCCTGAGAGTTCTAGCCCAGTTTATCGGTTCAATAATACTCTTATGTGTAGGTTTGCATCTCCAAACTTCATAGGCAACTACATTAGTTAAGGAAATCAAAGTGAGTATTTAGTATATAAACACTAAATATAGTTAAAGTTTTCTGGACTAATACAGTACTAAATTTCAAGAAAGCATATTGATTTACCTTTAGTGATGTTAGAGTTGCAGCTGGTAATGTTGGAAGGAGTAGAGGCTGGAGGAAGAGAAATAACGTGGAGACTGAGGGTCTTGCGCGGAGCAGGAACAATTAGCATGTCACTGTGGGATCCAGTAACTTGCACGTTAAAGCCTGGCCTACGTTGTTAGGAATGGCTTCTCTACATTTGCTCTTTCCACTCCAGCCTTTTTTCCCCTCCCCATCCCTGTGTCTCTCCATGGGTACTCTCTTCTCATTATCATTATTCTTTAATAATCTAGCCAATCCTCTCTCCTTGTTATTTCTAGGAGAAATATTGTCTAACAAAATATACAAAATCATTAACCTCACTTCATTGAGTACTGATGCAGGTGCATCAAGGATTCTGTTTTAGGAAAGAATACTTGATATCACACATGCCTTTATCTTAATCCTCTCCTGGTCCTGCAGCTGTTCTGTGCCACACTGGGGCATTAAACGATTCCAAAGGGAAATTCAGAAGTCTAATATAGAAATGGTTCACAGGAATATGTAACTGTCTCACCAACTCATGAACAACAAAACTGTTTTTATCTAAATGACTCTTCAGACCCAAGTTTATTTGCACAGATTTTGCTTTGAAATCTAAGTTAGGATGGTGGCAAATATACCTTTCCTAAAAATAGGAGCCTGGCAGCCACTAAAGACACTGACTTGTTTCCAGTTCATGGCTATTTCAAACAATGCCATCATTTGGCCACGCATGTGGTGTGGGATACTCTGATAGTGGCATGATGGACATGTTCAATCTTACCAGGCAATGCCAAATGCTTTCCAAATGGCTGTGCAATTTGCCCCCTCATTCTTAGTAGCTGACATGTCTCTTTCTATAGCTCATTCTCAATACTCAGTGTCATCTTGCTTTTTTAATTTTTGGTTGTTTGCTATGTGTGACATTGTATCTCCAGTGTGAATAAAGACAGATGGAGTTTTTGAGTGGTGCCTGAATAGGTGCAAATCTACCAAGCCTTACCTAGAAGCATTGGCTGACAAGGAGATGTGACCCGGGTATGGTTGGCTTGGGCAAAAGTCAGCCCCTCACTCCCCAGCCCAGTGTTTGGTTGTCTGGTAGTGTCATCATGTTAGAGTTGGGGTTACACAAGAGGACAATAGTTTTCAGATTAACAAAACAAAACAAAAAGAAAGAAAGAAAAAAGAAAAATAGGAAGAAAGAAAAAACTGCACTGTTTCTTTGTGGATTGTGGTCTTTCCTTCCGCTGACTTACACAGATCTTTCTGGAGTTAACGGCATGAGAAAAATACCATGTGACAGTGTTACTGTCTGTTTCATTACAGAAACAATGAGAGTGCCTTAAAAGAGAGCCACGGGCTTGTATTTATGAGAAAAATATTTTAAAGAAGAACAGAATGTTAAACTTTATTTTTTTGATATTCCATAGTTTTATTTTTTTATTATTTTTATTTTTTTTATTTCAAAATATTATGGGGTTGAAACTCTTTGGTTACATGTATTGCCTTTGCACTGCCAAGTTGGAGCTACAAGCATGCCCGAATCCCAGACATCATGCACCGTACCTATTAGGTGTGAATTTACCCATCCCCTCTTCCCTGCTCCCACCTGCCTGATGCCCTGTGAATGTTATTTCCATATATGCACATAAGTGTTGATCACTTAGTCCCAATTTAATGGTGAGTACATGTGGTGCTTGTTTTTGCATTCTTGTGATATTTCACTTGGAAGAATGGGCTCTACCTCAATCCAGGATAGTATAAGGGGTATTAGTTCATCATTTATTTTATAGCTGAGTAGTACTCCATGGTATACATATAGCACATTTCATTCATCCATTCATGTATTGACAGACAATTTGATTGTTTCCATATCTTTGCAAGTGTGAATTGTGCTGCTTTGAACATCCGAGCACAGATGTATTTTTTATAGAATATCATTTTGTCCTTTGGGTAAATACCCACTAGTGTAATTGTTGGATCAAATGGTAGTTCTACTTTTAGTTCTTTGAGTATCTCCATATCACTTTCTGTAGAGGTTATACTAGTTTGCAGTTCCACCAGCAGTGTAAGAGTGTTCTCATCTCTCTACATTCATGCCAACATTTGTTGTTTTAGGACTTTTTGATAAAAGCCATTCTCACTGAAGTTAAGTGATATTTCATTGTGGTTTTGATTTACATTTCCCTGATGATTAGAGATGTTGAGCATTTTTTCATATGTTTCTTGGCCATTAGTCTGTCTTCTTTTGAAAAGTTTCTGTTCATGTCCTTTGCCTACTTTTTACTGGGATTGTTTCATTTTTTTCTTGTTGATTTCTGTGAGTTCTATATAGAGTCTAATCATCGACCCTTTATTGGATGTATAGCATGCAAATATTTTCTCCCAGTCTGGAGGTTTTCTATTTGCTGTAATGATAGTTTCCTTGGCTATGCATAAGCTTTTTAATTTGATCAGGTTCCATTTATTTATTTGTGTGGTTGCTGTGATGGCCTTTGGGGTCTTCTTCATAAATTCTTTCCCTAGGCTGATGTCTGTAAGATTTTTTCCAATATTTTATTCTAGAATTCTTATGGTTTCATGCCTTAGGTTTGAGTCTGTTATCCACCATGAGTTGATTTTTGTGAGAGGTGAGAGGTGCGGATCCTATTTCAGTCTTCTATATGAGGCTATCCAATTTTCCCAGCACCATTTATTGGATAAAGAGTCTTTTCCACGGTGTATGTTTTTGTCTGCTTTGTCAAAGATTAGATGGCTATATGAAGATGGTTTTACATCTGGGTTCTCAGTTCTGTTATATTGGTCTATGTCTCTGTTCTTGTGCTAGTACCATGCTGATTTGGTTACTGTAGCCTTGGAGTATAGCTTGAAGTCTGGTAAATTGATACCTTCCAATTTGTTCTTTTTGCTTAAGCTTGCTTTTCCTATACAGAGTCTTCTCTGGTTACACATGAAGCCTAGAATTATCTTTTCTAGATGTGAGAAAAATGATGCTGGTATTGTAATAGGGATTGCATTGAATCTGTAGATCACTTTGGGTAGTATAGACATTTAACAGTGTTCATTCTGCCAATTGATGAGCATGGTGTGGTTTTCCATCTGTTTACATCCTCTGGTATGTCCTTGATCAGTGTTTTGTAGTTCTCCCTGTAGAGGTCTTTCACCTCCTTAAATATATTCCTAGGTATTTTATTTTCCTTGTTGCTGTTGTGAAAGGTATTGAGTCTTTGATTTGGTTCTTAGTTTGACTCTTGTTGGTAGATATAAATGCTACTGATTTCTGTACATTGATTTTGTAACCTGAGACTTTGCTGAATTTGTTTATCAATTCCAGTAGTGTCTTGGCAAAATCTTTGGGGTTTTATAGATATAAGATTATGTCATCAGAAAAGAGCGATAGTTTGCCTCCTTCTGCCCCCATTTGGATGCCCGTGATTTCCTTCTCTTGTCTGATTGCTCTGGCTAGGATTTCCGGCACTATGTTTAAGAGAAGTGGTGATAGAGGGCAACCTTGTCTGGTTTTTCTAAGCAGGAATGCTTTCAGTTTCTACCTGTTCAGTACAACGTTGGCTGTGGGTTTGTCATATATGGCTTTTATTATTTTGAGGTAAGTTCCGTCTTTGCCTGTTAAGTGTTGTTATCATAAAAAGTGCTGAATTTTGTCAAATGATTTTTCTATGTCTATTGAGGGGGTCATATAATCTTCGTTTTTACTTTTATTTATGTGGTAAATTACATTTATAGATTTGCATATATTGAATGATCTCTGCGTTTCTGGGATGAAGCCCTCTTGGTCTTGGTGGATTATTTTTTGATAAATATGTGAATTTGGTTTGCTAGGATTTTATTGAAAATTTTTGCATCTATATTCATAAGGGATTTGGTATATAGTTTTCTTTGTTTGTTTTGTCCTTTCCTGGTTTTGGTATCAGGGTGATGTTGACTTTTTAAAACATGTTAGGGAGGATTCCTTCCTTCTCAGTGCTGTGGAATAATTTCTGTGGGATAGGCACCAGTTCTTCTTTGTAAGTCTGGTAAAATTCGAGTGTGAAACCATGTGGTCTGGGTCTTTTTTTTTAGGAAAGTTTTTTATTCCTGCTTCAATTTTAGTACTTGATACTGGTCTGTTCAGGAATTTTATTTCTTCCTGATTGAGCCTAGGGAGGCTGTGTGTTTCTGAGAATTTGTCCATTTCCCCCACATTTTCAAGTTATGTGTGTAGAGATTTTTATAATATTCATAGAGGATATTTTGTATTTTCATGGTATCAGTTGTAATTTCTCCTTTTTCATTCCTAATTGAGCTTATTAGAGTCCTTTCTTTTCTGCTTCTGGTTAATCAGGTGAGAGGCATGTCAATTTTGTTCATTTCTTCAAACAACCAACTTTTTGTTTTATTAATCTTCCATGTATTTTTTTTTTGTCATTGAGTTCATTTAGTTCTGCTCTAATCTTGGTGATTTATTTTCTTATGCTAAGTTTGGGATTGACTTGCTCATTCTTTTTCAATTCTTTGAGACTACTCATTAGATTGTTGATTTGTTATATTTCTGTCTTTTCAATGTAGGCATTTATGGCTATAAATTTTCCTCTCAGGACTGCTTTAGCTGTGTCCCAGAGGTTTTGATAACTTGTGTCCCCTTTTTCATTTAGTTCA